AACCAATGTTTGAGGCAAACAACTAGATACGTGCTTAGATATCTGGGGTTCTGCCTGGCAGAAGATCTATCCATCTTGGAACTGTAGGAGAACCAAGAAGAGAATGCAGCGAACTTACAAAGATGGGAATATGTACGTCTAAGAACAACATCCCTGGAAAAGCAGTGATAGGCCAAGAACAACTGGAGGACAGCACGCAGCTAGTTGAGTTAGAAATCAGGCATGGAAGAGGGAAGCAACCGGGTGGACAACAAAAGGCAGCAACCAAGTTATCCAACAACCTCAAAGTATTGCTGGCCAGGTTTCCATGTTTAGAGCGCAGAAGGTGCAGGCTCAAGACATCGCAGACATACATGATACTTGTTGGTAGTCCATGGGTTGGCTTTATTACCTCAAAGCTTGTGACAGGGGATCCTCAATTGGTGTGCATGTATGAATGCTTGAATGTTCTAACAACTCTTCCCATCATTACATCCGAGTTTGGTCCCCCGTTGTATCGATTTTGGGACGTGGGGGGGTCTGTCAGACAGTCGGCTAAGCATCGGGCTTTCTCAGCATGTATGTCAGTGCAGGAGGAAATTTCTAAGCACAATTGCCGAGTTGAGAAAGGAGCATCGAATTTCACATCGTGCAAGCGTCAAAAGCACTTACATGGCGTTTCACGTGATGAATTGGAATGTCAGTACGTAGTAGTCCTCCAAAGACACTTGAACTTCAAAGCCTCTCAGACATGGAGACATGGATTTCCAAGACACCAGCCAAATCCGTTGAAGAATGCTGGGAGGATGCTAGAACAAAGAGTAGAAAGAGGTGGAGGAGATCAAGATTGCTCGTCCGAAACCTGTAAATGCTTGTAACAAAATGAATCCATATGGAAGGACAAGGATACTTCTTTCGTTGTTTTCCTCGCCATACAAAGTCATCCAACCAGGACGTCAAGTCCAAGTGCTGGGACCTATATCCAAATTATCATGGGCCCCAATCACGGGGCACTGGCGGCTGTCGTGAAGGAATGGCTGGATGTAGCCTCAAATCAAGAATGGCTGGAGATCAATGGACAGCATTTACTAGGTTGACTTCAGAAGCTGGTGTGATCAAAGAGATGGGCGGAAGGGAGCCAAAGGTTTTACAATTGTTGGACCCTTATCGCGGACCACTTGTTGATATCCAGGTACGCGACATGCCAAGCAGAGTCGGAGGTGAAGTTGGGATGAGAACCGCCAAATTGCCGCCCGCCTTCGTTGTTGGCGCAACCAACCTGACCGTGTCCGCGCTCACTTTGTTTCCCGTCAGCCAGGGCACTGGCAAATATTTCTGTCTGTCTTCTTTCTTGGCGGCTGCTCGTCCTGATAGTCTTTCGTTCCGCCAGAAAGGCTTCTCTCCCAACTAGCCCCTCCTTTTCCGTGAACAATCGCTTGAGAAAAGCGCAAAACCACGACTCAGTCGTGAACGCACAAAGATGGAAGCGGCGTACTCAATCAGCGCGCGTAGCATGCCTTCAATGTCCACTCAACAATACGATACGGACTCGATTCCTCGCCCGCCTTCCGCATCGCTTGCTCGCAAGAGTTCGATTCGCGCGGTTCCCTACGACCCAACCGACACTCGCCTGCCCCTCGCGCCGTCCTTGTCGGGCGCATCGACCAGCAGTTATTCGCCCTCCAGCTGGCCATTTCCCAAAGGCCACCACAGGCAAAACAGCAAATCCAAGTTGCCGTAAGGTTATCTGTTGTTGTACGAAATCACCCAGTCGTCTATCCAGCTAACTCAGGTTATCCATGCGCAGTGTTCCTGTTGACAACGGTAGCCCAGTGAGAATGGCTCACAGAGAGACTTCTCCGACACGCAAATTTGCTCAGAGATCCGTAATGAGAGCGGTAGCGAGTGCCCCCTCTCGCCAGGGCAGTTTTCACGAGTCTTCCCTGCGCAATGAGACCTTCCGCAACGGCCGGGAGTCCTCGACCCCAGATGAGGAGCGCGATTCTGATGAGACTGGCAATGGCACTATCCATGTATCCCAGACAAACGGGGTGGTGATGAACGATGGTGAAGAGAGACCCCAGCCTCGTCAAGAGCGCCCGGAGTTTCTCACGCGAGCTTCTGCTTCTTCGCTCGCCAGCCGCCCAAAGACCCCATTTCCTTTCTCTGTCCCTGATGACATGCCCTCTGAACGGCCCACGAACCCTACTCCCCACGCCGGCCTGGCGAAGCAGTCTGAAGCGCTGCAGGATCCACGATTCACCGCTGAATATTTCGAAACCATCAGCATCCACGATCATGCGCCAAGTCCCGAGCCACTCACTCCTCCTCGCCGTCTCTCCGTCACGCAAAGCGACTCGACCGATGCCATGTACGGAGGTAGTCGCCAGGTTTCCACTTTCTCAACCGTCCACGAAGTTGACGAGGAAGATGGCGACCACGGCATGGACATGCGGAACACATTCGACCTGGAGCGCACCATGGCGTTTGTTCGGGACAGCTCAGATGACCAGACCTTTGCCGACAAAAACATCACCCTAGACAGTTCTACCCAACAAGACGAAAGCGTCGTGAGCGCAAAGCGAGCCAGCAGCAACCCCTTCGGCTTCCATGAAAACGTGGACATAGGCGGTGGCACCCCTGACCGCGGTATCATGCTGATAGATCCCAATGTGACCGCCGATCTCACCAACCACAACGTCTCGCGGGTCACTTCCGGCTCACGCATGTGGACACCCCTCCCCAACATCGACTCGATCCGTCGTGGCCCCAAGATCCGTCATCACCGCGTTATCCCGGAGCCTGGTGGTGGCGGCGGCGGCGGCAATGGTCCCGGTGGCATAGCCCCTGCCCGTAGCGGCATCATCCCGCCCGTCAACACCCTCGCAGACTTAGCCATCCTTGGCGGGAACGGCAGTGGCAACAAACTGAACGACCTCGAAGAACAAGACCCGGACCAGCAAGAAAAGACTCGGCGCGTCATGCGTCTTCAGAAGTGGCTGGTCCCCGTCTCCTTCGGCGTGCTCCAAGTGTCCATCATCTCCTTCGTAGCCAGCATCGCCGTCTTGGCTTCTCGGTCCTCTGCATCGACCACGAATGCTACAGGTATCATCGTCTGGATCAGCATCAGCGCTGTATTGCTTATTTCCTCCCTCGCCACGTTTCTCTTTGGCGCCTGTGCTGTCGGACGTCTGAGGAAGCAGGAGACCGGCGAAGACCCCTGGATCGAGATGCACCGTCTGGCTCGGGCTCTTCCTCCGCGCCCGCCTGCCGAAAAGGAGGGCGACAGCAAGGCCAACAAGAAGAGCAAGGCGTTAGCGGAAGAGGACAAGGCTGCGACGGAACAGGCGTGGAAGAAGTTTGCTGATGATCAGGAGCAGCTGAGGAAGTATGTCGAGAAGTTGGAGCAGGAGATCTTGGACATCAAAGAGAAGCGGGAAGAGGAGCAAGGTGTGCTATATGCTGCACAACAGCAGCTACAAGCTGCCAAAGAGCAGAAGCAGCAGCAGCAGCAGCAGCAGGAGCTGCATCCCATCGGTACCGCCATTTCCACCGGCGACCAAACGCCCGATTCCAAATCCAATTCCTACAAACAACCCACCGTTGAAGACTGCCCTGACTGCCCCAGCAACCGGCCCTCCGAAGACGAAGACATCACCCTTACGCCCAAAGCCTCCAAAGCAACACAAACCGCACCCAGGGATTCCCTAATCGCATACAACAAACCAACCTACTACACGAGCGGTCGCCGCCCGCGCTCCAACACGACCGGCACAGCCACTCAGTCCCTGCACCGTCTCCTTGGCCCCCCTTCCGAGTTGGATTCCGGCCACTTCCAACGTACAGGTCTAGGTGTTCCAGCCAGTAACAGCGGCGGGACCATTGCGTCTTTGAATTTGCATATTCACGGCTATTGCAGCAGCCCCAGCCGCAACGGTGACAACCACGGCCACCGCAACAACAACAACCACAACCACAACGCCCAAGGCGACCACATCCTGCCCAACAACCACACCCACACCCACACCCACACTGCCTACGTAATGACCACCCCTTCGGGAGTCACCATGGGCGTCCCCATCTCCCAAACCCAATCCAGCATTTTGACCGAGCTCTGCGAGGCCGTGACCCTTTCCGGTCTTTCCGGTACTGGCTCTAGCACCAACCAAGTCGGTGGGATTGAGGGCTATAGTCCGCTTGGTAGAGACGAGATTTCGGGAGCGATGAGGAAGGCGGGCGTTAACAACAACAGCAGCAGCAATAACAGGGTGACGCCTTCGCCTTCGCCCAGGCCCTCGCAGTCGCCGTTGGGGTCATCTGTTCCGGTTCCGGTGCCGGTTTCGGTGGGGACTTCGTCGTCTGCGAGCACGGGAGCAGGCGCGGGAGCAGGAGCAGCGGAGAGTGATAGGATCAGAACGGAACACGGAATGCCACCAAAGAAGGGAATGGTGGGCGGGGTGAGAGCCGTCACGGCAAGTGATGTTGCTCCTGAAGAAGAGCACGAGGACCACGAGCAGGATCAGGAGCCGATGCCACCGCAGATTCCGCCGCAGATGCATCATCAGATGCCCGACATGGCGGCAACGCGACCTCAGCAGCAGCAGCAGCAGCGGCGGCGGCAGTACCTTAGCCCAGAGCTAACCTCGAGCAACGAGAAGGAGAGAGCTTATTATGGCACGTTTAGGAGGATGCCTAGCCGGAGGGAGGATGTAAGGGGCATGGAGTTTCTTGCTGATCCTAACAATGGTGGTGGTGGTGGTGAAGGTCGTTGAAAGACTGGGTTGTTGCTTGAGTAATGGTGTTGGAGTATACTGTGTTTGTGTTTGCTGTACGGGTGTGTCGGCATGTGTTGCAGCGCAAGATGCGCTCTCATGGAATAACGGCTTCCACACGGTTAAGGGGTCATTCATGATATCGAAACAGGGAAACTTGAAGGGATCACATGGAAAAGCAAAAGGAAATAGGAAGGGGAGATAATACCTCACCGGATTAGCTTTGCATCATGGCGTTGTCCATACACTTGCTTTTCAGCGGATACCCAAAGGATGGTGTAACGGTTTGGGCGCATAGGGATCGTTTTGCTGCCAGGATAGAGCCATTATAGTCTTGGCTCAATAATCAAGAAAGGAAGGAGGACCACATAGGTCAATAATGATGTAAAGAGTAGCATAGAGACACCTACAGGTGTAAAAGAGTTCAAGAAGTAGGAACGAGATGATCGGCCGGCATAGGGACGCTTATTGAACCATGTATTGACACGAAGCCTTTTCCCATAGCGATACTCGCGATCAGCTAGCTACTCTGACAAAATCAAGTGATTTAGAGAGACGGAGACAGAACCAAAAAATAACAGAAAAGGTAAGAAATACCTCGACCTAGATAGCCCTCGCCATCCTCGCCCTATTTTCTCTGTACCTCTTCTCCTTACCCACCAACTTCCTCCGCTTCTTCCACGACCGATTAAGGTCACCACGGTGTTCCCAGAACCACTTCTGGAAGTCGCTGGTGCTAGTGGGCTTCTCTCCGTCCGCACCAGTCTCGGAAGCTCCCGTTGCCGCGGCGGCATCCACCATATCCTCATCTTCATCTTCATCCTCCTCCTGGATATCCTCATTATCGTCCTCCCACGGTTTGAACCTCCGGCTCGGGTGAGCCGTATCAGGCGTGGGCGCAGCGCTTCTAAGGCCGCGATACTCGAAATCCTTTTCGGTGTAGGGAGTCAGAGGCACCTGGAGAGAGGTGGTGCGTGTGGCGGTAGTAGTAACGTCTTCCTCCTCCTCTTCGATGTCGTCATTATTGCCGCCAAAGAAGCTGAAGCCGGTGGTAGGCTGGGCTTCTGCGGCTTCTCCTCCGTCCTTAGGCTTCTTGTAGAGCGCCTCCAGGGGGTGCACCTCGGTTTTGGTGGCTGGAGTTGCGGGAGGAGGAATCCTGATTGAGAGATTTTTGCCGGGGCTGGAGGTGACCTTGGAAGAGGAGGCCGCCTTTTCGGTTGGTGGAGGTGTCGATTTCTTCTTGTCTGAGGGAGAAGAAGCGTCCTCGTCGTCGCTACTGTCGCTGGATTCAGCATCGGACGCTGACTCTTCTTTTGTGAGTTCGAGAGCACTCTCGGTCTCTTCCTCGTCTGCTGACTTCTCTTCAGATTCACTTCCCGATTCGTTCCCGTCCTCATCCTCTTCTTTGTCGTTCTTCTTCTCCTCCTCGTCGTCTTCCTCCTCGGATTCACTGCTGGACTCGTGATACAACTTGATAATCCGCGTCTCACCTTCATCCTCAGACGACGAGGAAGAGTCGTCCTCGGGCTGGGGCTCAGCGTCAAGCATGAGCAGGCCAGTTGTTGGTTTCCGCGTAGCCTTGACCTCCTCAACGACATTACCATCTTCATCCACCCAGCATTTCTTCTCCTCATCAAAATGTGAAGGAGCCTTCTTTGAGCCAGAAGTCGCCGCCGCCTTTAGGAACGTCGGGAACTTGGTCGTCTTGGCAAACTCATGAACCACCACCTCGCGCTTGCTGTCCTTCTTCTTCTTCTTCTTGACCATACCCTCCATGCCTTCCGTGTTCGCGACCTTGTTTGGTGGCAGCACCGTCTTGACAAGACACTCGTCATGTTCTGTGTATTTTGACTTGACCCGCTGCTTCTTCTTGTCCTTCTTGTCCTTTTTATCCTTCTTATCGCCCTTCTTGTCGCGCTTGTCCTTTCTCTCCTTCTTGGGCTCGTCGGCAGACGTCCATCCTCGCTTGACCTGTCTGCCCTCCGGTAGCACGACTCCGGTGATCTCTTCGGCGTTGTCGCGCTTGCGCTTCTTGGAGGACTTCTTTTCTCCCAAAGACGAGGAGGAATCACGCGACTTCTTTGACTTTTTGGAGCTCTTCTCATCGGCCAGGGCGACTTCCTCGCCCAACGGCGCGGGGTTCTTGTCTGGTTTGGCGGGATCGACCTTCATCTTGGCTCCTCTCAGCACGGCGCCGTTGAACTTTTTGCGGACTTTTTCGGCGTCTTCCTTGGGGAGTTCGACGAAACCGTAGCGCTTTTCGGGAAAAGTTTCAAGGGTATGGAACGAGACGTTGCGAGCCTTGGGAAGCAAGGTCGAGTTGAGGACGACGGGGAGAAGTTCGGCGTCTAGAGGAGAGACGTGTAGCCGGACGTAGGCGTTGCTGCTGCTGCTGCTGCTGTCAGGTGTCGCGGCAGCAACTGGGGTTTGGTTGGGCATTTCTGTTGGTGTGACCGTTTGAAACAGAGCGGTTACCAAAGTGCCATGCGATGGGACGGTCGCCAATTGAACTTTTTGGTGATGTTTTGTTAGCGTGTTTTAGCCGCCAAACCGATGGCAGCAAAAGGGAACTGAAAGCTCTTTGCAGCAGCGGGTCGGATTGGAATGCGACAGTGACAGGGGGGGCAGGAGTCTGGACCCAACAACCCACACACAGAGAGCTGCATTCTCGGCAGGCACTGGTGAAGCATGCTGATTGGCCCGATATCAGTGATAGGCCTGGACATGTAATGGCATTTGAAAGCGAAACATGACCACCACGAACAGGACTTGTCCATCGTCAAAATACAGTGACAACAATAGTTTCATTGAGCCTCTTATAAGCTTGTATCATGACCACAAGAGCCACTTGAGCATCATGTTGACCATTTTTTTCTATTATTTTTTTTATTTTTTTTTATTTTTTTTTATTTTTTTTTTTTATTTTTTTTGATTTCTGATTTCTGGCAACTAGACTTCGCTCAGGGTCATCAAGTGGAACACCGGAAACAGAACAGAAATTCAACCAGCATTATATGTACGGCTTTCATGCATAACGCTCGACAAGACCGACGGGCGCCATGTTTCCTTTGTCCTTGCCGCCGCTCGTGATAGTGTGCGGTTAACGTGCATGTTCTTCTTTCCTGCCAACTGGTCATCAAGGTTGGGTCAGGCTGGTAAAGTGGTGGATATTAAAGATGGAAGATGGTGCTGCTCATCAGCAGGTAACATTCGTCGTCAGTGTGACAGAAATTGAATGGCTGGGAATGTGAAAAGAATGTGTCACATACGTGCAAAGACTCCTACAATACCCGGAAACATACCAAAGTTCAAAATAACACACAAAGTTGGTCTTCAAAAATGAGGGGAGTATAGATCCACATTGATAATGGTAAAAGAGAAGAACGGCTTGAAAGCACGTACCCGTGTCCCGTGTTCCCAAGACGCCGTCCATGATATGCATGATATGCCGTTGAAAACAGATGATTAAACCGAAAATCCAAACCGCCTTGGTCCACCATCACATCCTTTGCACGCCCACGCCGACACCCACGCCCGTCCACCCAACTCATTTTCTTTTTTTCCACAAAAGTCTTTGAGTGTTGCGCAGCAAAGCTGAGCTGTCACTACTCACTTAACCACAGACTTGCGTCTTTACTTGCTTCTCTCCCGCTCCCGGACCTCTCCGCCGGAAGCCTTCCACCACACATCGCCACCCCACCTCAACAAGCGCTCGCAAGCACCAGTAACCGTTACGGCAGGTCTGACGTCGAGGTAGAAAACGGGCTCGCCAGTGGGCTCAGGAGGAGCAGAGTAGAAGTCGATCACGTAGCGGACCTCCTTCTTCTGGCCGTTTTCGTCGCGGGAGACATACCAGTCATGGCGATCAAAGGGAGGTTCGGTGCTAGATAGTGTGTAAAATCACCTGGTTAGCAAAAAAAAGCTTCTTTTTTCCAACCTCATCTAGAAAATAACAAAGGAAGGACTGTACTTACGCATACTTGGAGTTTATCCTGCCCAAAACCTGCAACAAGGCCGCCTTGGGCGTCATATCCTTCGGCCTGCCCTGGAATCGGATCAGCGTCGGCTGGGGCTCGGGGTCATTCTCCTGCGCCTCCAGCCGACGCAACATCATGGGCGCGTTCTCCTCGCCGCGCTTCATAATCTCCCAGCCGCGCATGAGACCCTTGCCGAACCGGCGCTCCCACTCGACAATCTCGTTCCACGCGCCCTCGTTCAGGAAATTGTGTACGGCCACCATGCTCTCCACGGCGGTAATGTCGGTGTCGGTGTAGCCCTTGCGCAGGAGAGCGTTGTACATCTGCTGGGGAGAAGGGTACTCCCAGTTGCCGTCGCCGGTGCCCTTGGGGATGGAGGAAGGGTCGCGCTCAGTCGGGAGAGCGATGGCCTGGTTGGGCGCAGGCTCTTGGGAGATGGAGGAGAACATGTAGTTGAGGGGGTTGAGCTTGGAAAAGAAGGAAGACTCGGAGGCGGCGGCGGGTTGATGGTTTTCTGGCTGGGGCTGCTTGGGCGCAACGGCGGCGGCCGCAGCGGCGAGGGTATCCTTGGCGCCATGGTTGACGGGGCACTTGGAAGGGGGAGCGGCGGCGGGAGTCGGTTCGGGTGCTGGTGTTACGGGCTTGTGGGCGCTCAAGGCGTCCATGGTCTTGTTGTGCATAGGGCAGGAAGGCTAACATGGTTGCGACAAAGAGGTTAGATTAGACTCTACTGGCAGTGGGGAGGGTCCCGGTGAGGGCGAGGTTCGAAGACGACGATGACATACAGGAGGAACAGCACCGCTGGCGGCAAGATTCTTATGCGACGGAGGGACGACCGGCGCAGCGGCGGAAGCGTTTCCGTCAGCCCAAAACCAACCCATTGCAACTGATTATAAAGAAATGTCGTTGACGAAGTAAAATGTCCGTAGATGTCGGGCAGAAAAGAGCAGTCCGGCTACTGCTTTGAGTGGTTGATGATATATACAAACAGTTAGGGTTATGTAGATTCAATATCAAACAGAAGTGGAAAAAGTCTAAGGATAGCGCGAGAACAATGTAAGCTTCCGTCAATAACAAGAAGAGGATGGAAGATAAAAAAAATATGGGCGAAGAGAAATTTCGATATGAGCGGATAAAGCCGGACGGGCATGACGCGCTTGGGGCCATCGTTTCTTTGATGGCTGCCCCGCCCGACCAGGATTGACTTGCACGCAAGATCGGTCTGTTTGTTAGCTTAAGACTTCGATGTGGTTTTTTCACCGTCTACTTATACAGCCATCTATGGCTATATAAGCTCTGTAAATGAACAGAAAGTGTCTTACGAAACCTTCCCTATATTCATGGTCTCCAAGAAACTTCCCAGGCTCCAACGAAGCCGGCTCCTTCGTACTGCTTACATTGGTAATTGATACCTCAATGTCTCCCACTAACAGACCGTCAGGGGAGACATGGATCGCACAGTTCGAACCTGGACTCTAGGCTGAAGAGAGTCCACTAAAAACGATCCTGACACGTCCGGCTGATCCAATGATATCGCCAGAATTACAGAGCTCAAGTCGTTAGTCCAGCAAGAAAAGTCTCCATTTTCAACGTTGCCCGGTTTTTGTTCCAGTCAGTTCCTGTCGTCCGCTGTTTCCATCGAGATCTCAACTTTGGTTGTGTACAGGCGCAACCGCGTCAAGGTACCGACTCAAATCGTTGTTGTTGAGGGACTCAGAAACCCCAAGGAATGAATGTGCAAGCTGTTAGTATGAGTGGTAAAGTGAGGATATCACTACAAAAAAACCCGACGAAAAGACCATCACAAACCCATCCCGTCAAACATCCATTTCTGGCAAAACTCCGTCTAGATGCATCCCTTTCTCAATCTCCATGACGCCAGTCTCCTCGGCACAAGTAGGTATGAACACCATGATTAGATTATCACAAATCCCCATGTCCTCCATTACACATTTGGCGATAGCAAATCATACTTGACACACCGTTCAACCTGTGAAAAAAAAAAAAACAAAGAATGTTAGCAAATCAATCTCAACCTCGTTATTGGGGTCAGGTATACTCACATCCTCGATACTAGCCTGCATAAACCTTCTGGCCTCCAACCCGAGCCAAACAGCCATCATATGCACATCCCCCTCCATCAACATATCCTTGCCGCCCTGCGCACCGAGTTGTCGCAAGATAGGAAGCGAGCTGCTCAGCAGATCCACATCAGGATCCAAAGCACGCCCAATACCCTCCAGCAGCAAGATGCTGATGACCACATTGACGAAATCGCCTTCGAGCCTGACGTGATGCTGGCGCACCATATTCAACACCTTCTCCAAGATATCGCCAATCTTGATATTCCCTAGCGCCAGCGTCTTGTTTTTGACGTCCCGCACGAGATGCTCCATCTTGAGCGCAAACACCTCTTTATCGAGCACCGCATCCGGCTGCCGGCACCGCTCGCACATGAGGTGGCCAGCTTTGTACCCGTCGAATTCGGCCACGGCACGGAACAAGTCGAGGAAGTTGCGGCGGTTGGTAGCGTTGAGTTCCGTGACCAGACCGGTATCAATGAAAATCAGCTGCGGGCGGTACCCTTCCTCATCAATCTTCTCCAGCTCGGCGACCCACAGCTCCTTGTTGTTTCTGTATGGCCGCAGGCGCGAGAGGACATGCTCTGTGACATCTCCATTTTTACCCGTCGGGTGCGCGTCACTAGGCTTGTCCCAGTGCAGGCTGAGGGGGGGCTTCTCGGACTCGTAGAAGCGCACCATGATATTGCCCGGGTGCAGGTCGGCGTGCACAAAGTTGTCGAGGAGGAGCATGCGTAAGAAAGCGTCGAGACCTTCGCTAGCTATGTCGTGCTGGAAGACGCCGCCGCCATTGGCCATGAAGTCCGCTAGTGGGACGCCGTGCGCGAACTCCTCGACGAGAATGTTGCGAGTGCTGAACTCGGTGTAGGGGTAGGGGAACCAGGCGGTTGTTCGGTCTTTGAAGTTCTTGCGGAACCTGGAGAGGTTGGCGGCTTCGATCCGCAGGTCGAGTTGTAGCTTCATCATGTCACCGAATTGATCGACCTCGTCGGGGAGGGAGAGCCACTCCAAGGTAGGAATCGCATTGATCATGGAAGCAAAGAATCGCATGATCCGGAGATCGCGCCGTACAGTCCGCTCGACACCAGGATGCAGCACTTTGATGGCGACGTGGGACGATGGGACCCGTTTTGGCGTAGCCTTCAAAACGGTCCCAACGTTCTTGACAAACCGATGAGTCGAGCTGGAAAGGTCAGCATCAGCAGGCATGGTGAGGTCTGGTTTTAGCTTGGCCCTGTAGACCTGCGCGATGGCACCAACACCCAAAGGCTTCTCGTCGAATTCCTCAAAGATCTCGTCGAAGTGGCGACCATTAAATGCCGCCTCCACGATACGTTTTGTAGCATGGAGGGAATGAGCCGGGGCGTCGTCGTGCAGCTTCGACATGATGTTGCACATCTCGTCGGGGAATATGTCTGATCGCGAGGCGGCCCATTGTCCAAGCTTGATGAAGGCAGGACCAGCCCACTCCATAGCCTGCACCAAGAACCCATACCACCACAGCGTTCCTGATCGTTCATCGTCACGATCCGGCTGGCGCTCTCCGAACCAGATCACTGGTACCGTGATGATCACCGGCGCGAAAATGGCGACCAGTTTCAGGAACCGTATGCCTGTGCATAGAGGTTCCCAGATGTAGAAGTCCAAAAACAGGACGATCTTCTTGCCAATTCTCTTGAGCCCCGTGACGTCCTCCCCGACCTTCTTCTCAATCTCCTCCCGCGACACTTGAAGCATCCGCTGTTCCATCGTCAGTTCCGTCCCGGTATTATCCTCCTCCGAGAGCGACACGAAGGCGGCGGTCGCCAGTACGCCATTGGCAGCTTTTGCCAATAACATTACCCTTGGTCTAGAATACCGACCATATCCTGCTCCTTCTTTCCCTGCTCCTCCTCCTCCTCCTCCTCCTGTCTTTTGCCATGTCTGTGATAGTCGTGGTCGCGGGGCACGTGGTATTGACCGGGTTGCAGTAGAAAAACAAGAAGAAGGGCGTATCGGTTGTTTCGACGATGTCCGTAGAAGGTGGTGTGAAAGAAGGCCGGAACACCGCCTTGTTGCGGTCGAGAGTGACGGTGGCGGTTGCGCGCGACAAGAGAGCCGGCCAACGGCGACGGCTGCCAGCCGCATGGCGGGCATGTGATCAGGCGAGAGGGGGTCACTCCGTCGGCGCCGGGCCGCTGTCTAGACGAAGAACGGTCGGTTTGCGTGGGGAAAAAAAAAAAAAAGGTTTGTCGGTATCGCTTCAATGGCAATCCCAATGTCCGGGGAATGCGCAGGTCCTTGCGGGCGTTGTTGATATTGTTGTCGTAAGTGACATGATTCAGATCTGGCGGAAATCGGCGGGAAGTTGTTGCTTGGTCGATGTGCCCTGTCGGACTGTGGCCCGGATTGACAGAAAGATCGCCTGTGACGTAGCAGACAGGCTTTCCCGGCAACGCGCGCCCGCCAGAGGGGCATGCCAGCGTTTCCGGGCGTTGATTGGACGGATCTACAGTAGCCGATCTACTATAAAGAAGGGCACCCGACAGACGGGAAACCATCCGTCCCATCATCTTTTTCACGATGCCCCTGACCCGGTGCAGATTCCAAGTGAAGTCAACAAACCCAACACTTTCTTCATTTCTACTCCTGATCCGCAGATTTTGGTTTTTGTATAAATTTTTCTCTTCTGTTTTGGGAGACGCGAAAGGTTCATTGTCTTACGCAATCATGGGTAAATTACCTTAGGATTATCCTGGCCGTCTATGACCGAGCACTATGTCTCCTCCAATCTTGATCTGCCTCGACCCTCGCTGCCATTACATCCTCGGTTCATCGCTTCATGAACCCCCTCGCTGACTCAACCCATTGCACCCTCAGTTGCGCGCCCCACATCACCTTTTAGCAGGAACTTGGATGACCACCGCATTAAAATTGACCTAGGCACAACCGTTAGTATGGAGTTGGGCTACTGAAGTTGCCGTTGAAACTCACCTTGTCCTCACAGTTGCAATGGATATCCGGTCCTTCTGTGACTTGGCCGTTCAACTGCAGTCTCACGAGGCCAAGGGTAGTCTCATCGAACGGAATCTCAAAGTACGAAGATCCCCGTGCCGTTTGGAACTCCCTCGGTTGCCCATCTCCGAGCGTCACAGTCACCGTGTTCTCCTCCTTGGTGATGGCGACGACGGAGATGACGTCCTTCGCACCATGTGCTGCCAAGGCGTCGCCTCCTTGCCCCCATACGGTTTCTGGCGGCGTCGTGTTAGCAATATCTCTAAAAAGTCGGCCAAAGAACAACTTACCACCATGGTGACCTGCACTGGCCGGTGTCCTGCGGTACCATGCAATTGCCACGTCTTCCAGATGCTCTCGTGGCTTAGCCTTGGTCTTTCCTGCCTTGTAAGCCTGGATGAAATGAGGCAGAATGGCACGGTAGGCGTCGTGTGAGTGGCCCTTGACGTAAGCGTCTGCTCCTGGCACAACCTGGTCATCTCGATGAGGGTCGTAGATGTAGCTGGATTCACCATAGTCGTTCCCTGCAAGGTTGTTAGCTCTCGGTCTCTGGCACCAGCCCAAGACTAGCACCGGCCAAGGAGGGGAACGAACAAGTGATGATCTCGACAAAGTCCGGCTGGACCTCTAGAATCTGTTGCCAACGGTCATACCAGAGAGATTCGCTAGAACAGTACCAGTTCTTGTTCCACTGTGGGAGGTCTATACTCAAGGTTAGCACAATTTTCAGCTTGCACAGGCAGGCTCAAACTCACTCGTATAAAAGTAAGGACTGACGCCCATCATGTACTTATGCTTGTTGTTTGGTGTCCCAAAGATACCTGGCTTTTCGATTTGAAGGGCTTGCAAGTACAGATGATCTTCATCCGGGCCCATCTTGTGATTGCATCCTTTTGGCCATGCGTCCCAAGAAACTATAGACAGTTAGCCCACTCTAAAAATCCAAAGTATGACACCGCAGCGGAACTTACAGGCACCATCGATGATGTCGAGTTTCTGGGCAACCCCATGAGGTCCAAGACTGGCCCAGTCCGGAACGAGGAAGATACCGCCCGTCGCTTGACGGACTAAGGCCCAGTTTTCCGCCCATTGAGGGCCCTCGAACGTCGATACAAACGGTCTCCCATCAACTACACATTGCGCGGGCGAATACTTGAACCGGTTGATCAAGTCTACCACCTGCTGAACTGTCCACTCAAACGCAAAGCTAGTAAATCTGGTTAGCCACAGCTGATCTTGCCAGAGAACTTGAAGAAGGAACACACAAAAGACACTTACTCGAAAGAGATGAAAAGGACAAAGCCTCCAGCCCGTTCAGCGGCCTGGTAAGCCAAAGATAACTGCTCATCAAGCCAGTGATCCTGAGAGCCCGTGTTTAGTGCGAATCCGTCGATGCCGCACTCTTTGGCGGCTCTGATTTCATCCTCCCAGTCCCTGGCGGTATGATTCAAGGTGAGTCCTAGCTGCAAAGTAAGTTAGCTGCGTGACCCTTTCATGAAAGAAAACTTAAAGCCTATTACCATGTAGTGAGCAAACACCATCTTGTCGCATCTCACCCTCCTCTCTGGCTCATCGGAAATGCCGATTTCGGCACCAAGTTCGGCGATGGCATCGCGGGTAGAGTCTAGAGGTAAATTATGATTAGTGTTTTTGTCGGCTTGCATCTATCAATGAAGGAATTGCGGGAATGCCAACTTCATCATGGGTACAACCGGAATGTCATGATGACCGATTGTTTCCGGGGCAACCGGTGATCCCAGAGTGATTGGTGGTTTGGATGTCTCCCATCAATAGAGACGGCTGTAACTGACCGATGAAGTCCCTCCAAGTTCTCTTGTAATATGGCACCATTGTTACGGGTAAGGCTAATCCGAAATTATGTAGATATCACCCTTTGTTCAGCTGGCTCCAGAACAGTTCCTGACCTTTTAAATGTTTTGGTTGGAAAGGGGGTAGCAAGGAAGTGCGATAACAGAATAGGGGGCTAAAGACGTGCCAAGCCGTTAGTGCATGGCCCAAGCGGCCATGCCTCATGGACCAAGATGTGTGAGGCTCTTGGGAGATGAACAAGATGATCTCAGTCGGCAACATCGGATGCGAATTCGCCAGACCACCTACTTGGATGTTGTGTAAGGGTTTCGAACGGATGTTTTGGAGGAAAGATGAGAAATACTATGAGGGCACTGATAGGAAAAAGGTCCCACGTATCAGCCACGGTTTTTAGCCGTGATACATACTTCGAAGCTCTGAATTTGTGACACAAACAATGCCTTACATTGGAATGAAGATTGGCTGAACCCAACAGACAGTCAACAATTGAAAAAATCATCCTGGCAAGCAGCGAGTGTCATCATCTGCCACAAATCATCCAAGTCCTATTCTGGTGACAGATCGTGTTCTTGTAAATCACCTGCTGGTTGATATTGGAGAGCCCATGGTGGAGCATGGACCGTCGTGCCTTTCACTTGGCTCTGACTCGATGTTGAGAACGTGAAAGTCGCCCTTGCAGTTGGAGAAGCTCAGCTGAGGCCCACTCGATGTCCAGACCACCCGGCCCGCAGCTGGGAGCAAGGCAAGACTGAGCACAGACCTCCACCCTAAAATGCACAGGCGAGGGGCACCTGGCCTTGGCCGTTAAGGTTCCCCAAGCATATCCGGATAGGGCAGACTAGGCCACGATTAGGGCGGAGGGTAGATTTTCCGGCAGCCCAAGCGAATTTCGGCTCCGCACACAGTCAATTTTGGTGAAATTTCGCATCTTCCGCAACTTCACACACAACCCACCCACGTCGACCCATCAACTCGATCAGTCGCGACAATGGATTCCTCTAAGGCCCCCGTCAAGCTCGTCAAGGTCACCCGCGTCCTCGGCCGTACCGGTATGCGAAACCCCCGCCGAAATGCTGTCAAAGTCGATTTTTCCCCACGAGGAAAGGCGATGTGACGGGCAAAACTCTTGCGATGACAACAACACGGAAATGCTGACCATGGTGGAATTCTGCAGGCTCTCGCGGTGGTGTTACCCAGGTCCGCGTCGAGTTCATGGACGACCAGACCCGCTCCATCATCCGTAACGTCAAGGGCCCTGGTAAATAATAGCCCATTCCGAGCATACACACACAAACACAAACAGACAGCGAGAGCAGCAAAAACTAACAACTTGCCCAACAGTCCGTGAGGACGACATCCTTGTCCTTCTCGAGTCCGAGCGTGAGGCCCGCCGTCTCCGTTAAGAAGTTCGATGTGACGAAAAAGGGAGGAATGAGAATTACAGCGCGACCTCGGTTTTGGCCTGTCTCGACGAGGAACGATTACATCATGACTTGCGGCCAGGGAATTACGGAACATTCTGGGTTGGGAGCTCGGTAGAACGGCATTGCCATGATTATTTCCTCCCCAAAAATCTGCTCGGCGCAGACGTTGCATTGATTCTGGACCGCTCCATTTCGCTGCAATCGTGTTCTTTCTCGTGAAGGAAAATGGGTGATGCACTTGGGATATTCTCTTGGGGGTTCAGGAGGACGGAGGTTTTCAGCACAACACAAACTCAAGCGGGCATGGACTTGAGGATCTCTACAGGCAGCTCTATCTCGAATTGTCGAGGCCTCCGAGGTCCTGCTCCAGCGCCAACAGTGGCAGTCGAGATCCGACTCCGATCAGCAACAACGCCTTTTCGCGCGCCCATTAGTCAAGCAATGCCATACCCTCAGGCAACGTCAGCTCCAATCCGTCCGCCATGCCCTGCGACCGAAGTCCAATCCCTCCGTCCTACCATGTCCGGAATGGGCTCCTGTGTCCAGACGGTTATTGCCTTGCATGAAGACGAGAGGCGTCAAGGTACAACGACCGTGGGCCCTCTGATATTGCATCATGACAAATGTGGTAGGGTCGTAGAGATTTGTAGTAGCCAACTGGGACTGCTTGATCCTTGTGCTAGTCGTCGTGAAGCAATGATATTGGGCGCTAAATCTCGTTTTCGAAGCCTTTCGCTAACCGCCAAACAGGTATCCCAAACGCTATCCATAATATCTTGTTACTACACCGAACAATCGAAGACATGCAGTCTAGAAGAGAGTTCACGAACCCCGCACACATCTCGTGTTTGCCGTGGAGGTGACCCCTCTGAACTGGTGATATTTCTTGGGATCATCAGGCATTTGGGCATTAAGCGAGGATGAGGCGAACGGGGATAAAGGAGCCAGCATTTGTTCTGTTTGGACACATACTCCACAGAGGTACTGTATTCCTGAATTAAAGGGGTTTAGGCCCTCCCCTGTCACTTACCATTCTGGTCTTCGGTACCTGAAACCGCCGCTTCGAGGTTTCGACCGCAAATCCACCGTCTTGGCAGCATGAACACACACGCCTTTCTCGGAAATTCCTGTCGTTTAGCCATTGAATGTAACCTCATTTGACCAGCCTACCTTCTCGCTACGCAGCCAGCTTGCCATCAACGGCCATGGACATACGGCCTCCAGTCTTGTTCCGCCAATCGAGTCTTTCTTATGACTGTCGATATGACTGGGAACAACGGTTTTCATTCCGAGAACCGAGATCGCGGGAGAGGCATGGCACGGCATACGAGTGCCAGTTCTTGTCCCCGCCGAGCCCATCAGACCTATATAACATGACACCAGCATTTCCGATGTGCTCTTGTGCTACCTTTTACTCACGGCAACCTTGAACGTGCCAGCTCTATCGTCTCTGTTACTGCAGTTAACAGGAGAGCAACATGGGGTTCCTCACTCTCTTTCATATGGCCTTTTTGGCTGTTTCCCTCTTCATCTCGGGGGCACTTGCTGCCTTTGGGTACACCACCTCCGGCAACAACTTCATCATTGATGCCGGCTCCGCGAACCCTTTGATCTTCTCCGTGAGCAAGTCCAGCTGCGACATCAACTCGATCAAGTACCGAGGCACCGAACTCCAGTATAGCAAGCAGGGCACCCACATCGGATCCGGCCTCGGCAAGGCCACCGTCTCTGTCAGCCAGATCAATGGGTCAAAGTCCAAGTTCATCAAAGTGACCTGCGTCACTTCGACCCTGACCCAGTACATGATCGTCAAGGAGGCCGACAGCACCATCTACATGGCCACATACATCACGGCCGAGCCCGCGATCGGCGAGCTTCGCTTCATTGCCCGCCTGTTGTCCGACAAACTCCCGTACGAGTACCCCTATGGCGAGGTTTCCACCACCAAAGGATCGTCCTCCACCGTCGAGGGCTCCGATGTATTCGTCGTCAACGGCCAGACCCGCTCCAAGTTCTACTCCTCCACCCGCTTTATCGACGAGGATTCACACTGCGTCTACGGCGGCTCGGACCTCACGCACGTCTGCATCATCACGCCCCAGCAGGAATCCTCCTCGGGCGGCCCTTTCTTCCGCGACATCGACTCCAACAACGCCGGCGACAGCACCAACCTGTACAACTACATGAACAGCGGGCACGTCCAGACCGAAGACCGCCGCATGGGTCTGCACGGTCCGTACCTGATGACCTTTTCGCGCTCGGGCATCCCGAAGCTCAAGACCGTCGACGTCTCCTGGTTCGGCGAGCTCGGCGTGACCGGCTACGTGCCCGACTCGCAGCGCGGCACCGTCATCGGGCGCGCCTCCGGTATCCCCTCCGGCTTCGAGGGCGTCGTGCACTGGTACAACGCTGCGGCGCAGTACTGGGTCAGGACGGCCCCCAACGGAGATTTCACCTCGCCCAAGATGAAGCCGGGCACCTACACCATGGTGCTCTACCAGACCGAGTTCAAGGTAGCCACCTCGACCGTGACCGTCTCCGCGGGTCAGACCACCGTCGCCAGCATCGCCAGCACCTTCAACACCAGCCACACGACGCTGTTCAAGATCGGCGAGTACGACGGCCAGCCCACGGGGTTCCGCAACGCCGACAAGTTTTTGCGCATGCACCCCTCCGACAGCCGCATGTCGAGCTGGGGCCCATTGACGTACACCGTCGGTAGCTCTTCGCTGAACGACTTCCCCATGGCCGTGTTCAAGAGCGTTAATAACCCCGTTACAATCAAGTTCAACCTGGGCAGCGCGCCGAGCCAGGCGACCACGCTGAGGATCGCCACTACTCTGGCTTTTGCTGGTGCGCGCCCGCAGGTGGTGGTGAATGGGTGGTCGGCGCCCGCTCCCGCTGCTCCTGCCAAGATTGATAGCCGTGGTGTCACCAGAGGCGCGTATAGGGGGTATGGAGAGGTCTACGATGTGGCGGTGCCGGCGGGTAAGCTGGTTAGTGGGACGAATACGATCACCATTAGTGCGCTATCGGGGAGCAGTGGGGCCACGTTTTTGAGTCCTAACTTTGTGAGTATTTCCTTTCGGGCTTGCTTGATTGCGCACTGGGCGTTTGCTAATGATGAATTCAGATCTTCGATGCCGTTGAGCTCTTTTACTAGAGTCGTGGCGGAGTGGCAGCAACCTTTTGTCTTCTTACTACAAGTTGGTTCTGCATCCTTCAACTGTAGTCTCTTTTTTTGGCATAAAAGCAGCCTCCTATGTACACAAGGCTTTATTCATTCACACATACAATATCGACTCCTGGGTCCCGCAGCCTATTCAAATCATAATCAAGTAACAAATTGCGGAGTAACAAGACCTACCTTGCGATGCCACTTCCATCACTAAGCAAAGGCCTACCCAGTGTCTCATTCTCCTCGTCCTCCTCGTTCCCATCTTCCCTGTCATCAGCCAAAAGCAAAGACGTAGTTGACGGAGTTCCACCCTCATACCCGCCAAACAGCACCTCCATATCCTCTAGCGGACGTCCCTTGGTCTCAGGATAGAGCAAGAAGATAATCGGTACGCACGCCAAATTCACCGCCATAAAAAAAAAGTAAATCTTTGAGCCAAGTTCTGCAATCCCGATAGGCCACAGTTGGGAAACAATAATTGACCCGACAGCGCCCCCAGAAGCAGCGAAGCTCAACCCACGCGCGCGAGCGGCAGTGGGGAAGATCTCAGATCCGTAGACCCAAGCCGCCGGGCCGAAGCCCATGCTGTAGCCAAGCGAGTAGATGAAGATAAAGACAACGCAGGTGTAGTCTGAGGCGCGGTTGGTGTTGTTGGGGTAAGCGAGGGGGAGGGCGCCGTTGATCTTGATGCCCGGGGTTTGGAGTCAGCAGTCAACACTTTACTTTCACATTTCTTTGTCCCAGTCCAAGTCCTAGTTAGGTCCAACAGGCAATTGGAAACGTGCAACTCACCAACAACGCAAAAGCCATAATCCCCGCCCCAACAGCCAGTGTCACCCTCCTTCCCACCTTATCAATAACAAACATCTCCAACACCGTGCACCCAATCTTCAGGGTACTCTCGATCCCGCCCGCCAGCAGCGACACGCGCGGGCTCAGTCCCAACACCCTAAACAGTTCCGGCAGATAATACTTCATGGCTGTAGCGCCGCACATCTGCGCCATGAAGTGGAGCAGTGCAGCTCGCCACAGGCGCGAGAACCAGCTGGGGTTGGTGAAAAGGGAGGTCCATTTCTTTAGGCTAGTGGCCTGATAGGCGGAGACATTGCGCTTGATGTCTGTCAGTTCGCTTTGGATTTGCGAAGGGGTGAAGGATCCTTCGCGGTAGAACTGCAGGGCTTTGAGGGCTTCGTCAGGGCGGCCGTGCTCGACGAGCCATCGTGGAGACTCGTGCAGGAAGGGGACACCAACGAAAAAGAAGAGGGCGGGGATGAAGGAGAGGGAGACGGACAGGCGCCATCCGTTGAGGTAGCCGTGTGAGTCGTTCCAGAAGGTTATGGCGTAGCCGACCCTGGGAATGTCAGAGTGACTCGACGTTGTTGTGATGGATACTACTTACCAGAATCCAGAGGCAAGTCCGGCTACAAACCCGACATGGTTCAAAACAACAAGTCTGCCTCGCTGTTGGGCCGGGGCAATTTCACTATGCAATAAACCACGGGTCAGCCCTATGACATGAAGATCATCTCGCTTGTGATGAATTTCAAACAAGACAATCCCTGTCACATACCTTTGATACAGCGGCACACTCGTCGAGACGATACCGGTGCCCAAGCCAGAAACAACCCGTCCAAATATCACCATACCAAGCGCCACCGATCCCGATGCAGCAGCCTGAATTGCCTGGCCTACGCATAGCACGGACATGCCCACCATGGCAGCATAGCGACGGCCGAGCAGGTCCGTCGCGGGACGGGAGAAGAAGACGTAACTCAGCCATGTGCCGAGGTAGTAGATGGCCGTGATGAGGCCGCGCCTATACGGACCATAGCCAGGGATGGTTTCGCGGAAGCCTGGATGGGCGAGGACCGAGGCGAGAACGCCAACGTTGTATCTGTGCAGTCTCAGTAAGTGTAACTCCGGAGCCAGTTCTCCGATCCCCAAATCGATGAACTTCACGTCGTAAAGGGACTTGATCTATGTGGTACCACGATGTTCGCGTGTATTGGCGAGAGCTGGAACTCGAAAAGTCTTACCCCCAGACAAATGAGCCAAGAGCAAGCAACAGACTAAAGAAATGCAAGCGCGACGAGGCTTTGGAGAAGCCCAAGCCCAGGCCCTTGATCCCGTTCATGATCGACAACGAATTCCTATCCTCCGAATGCACTCCTTTTGTTGTGTGCCGCCGAGTGGTCTGGGAGCAGGGCAAAGACCCGATTCGATGGTTGGCGGCACTGGTACCTTTCCTATCTCTGAGGAAACCAACAAACTGCGGCAACTCAAACCTGAAACAATCGGAATGGTAGTTCCGTGATGAGATTGTTGAATGATGATAGAAGAAAAGGCCTGCCAACTTCCTTCTTGATTTCCAAGAGTGGCCGGGTAGCTTTTTTACCAACGAGACTTGTCCATAAGACTCGTGGGGTTTCAATATGAGCACTGGACGGGGAATGGGGGCACCACTTGGTGACACTGTCGAGACTGCGCACTGCCATGAGCTTTTCCCCCGGATTTGCGCCCCTAGTTGCGTCACCTGAATCAAATGAATGCAACTCATCCCCGCGCACCGTGTGTGCCGCCACAGCGACGGGATTGGTAGGTAGTTGAGCTGACGAAGATGCTGATTCGAACCGATTGGGACGACGTCTGTAAAAATCCATCGGAACGAAAGGTGCGGGGGGTTTTGACTGACACATCTCATCGACAAGCAGTTGGTACTTGGGGATTGTAATAGGACTCGCATTTGAACGACGTGCGGAATCCCGTTCCGGACAGCTCCCCGCATTTTTTGTGTTTGCAAGAGTTCCAGCCAGGCCTTGGTTGATTGATGAGTGGCTGGTTTCAGGTTTCATTCCCGAATCGAAAAGTGATGTTTGCACCTCTTCATAGGAGAACTCGCGATGTTTTTCTGTCCCGCTTTGTGAACTTGATACGTGACGGCGGCAATGACAACGTCCAGTTAGCATCAGCCCACTATGCATCACAGCCAACGAACTTTTCCAAACTGAACGGGGAAAAGTAGAGAATTTTCATGCAGACCCCTCGATAACTATCACCAACATTGGAGTGAGGGGAGGCGCTTATACTTGATGCTTTCCATTTGCTCAAGGCATCCACTTGGCAGCTTCGCAAGCTCACGCCATTTACAATCCGGAAAAGGCACTGGAACCAATGGTTTACCTGGCTCGCCCCATATGTATCGTGCATTTCACGATGCTGTGACGGACAGGTGTCGGTTCGGTACCTGCATCCGTCAACAAGGTTTGTGGGGCATGTCTGGGACGGGAAGTTTTTGCGAGTTCGCGGTCTCGGAAGATTGCATTCCAAGGCACAATGCCAAGTCCAGGATGTTTTAGTTCTCAGGCGTGATGGCAAGCCGGGCACGGCGAGTACCTGAGTCAAACACTGCTGCAGGTACACATGTTGGTTGATGGCTTGCGGATGGCGTCACCAATGAAGGAAAGTGGACTGAAGCAGGATACATTGTTGGATACGGCAGGAGGCAGGAGGTCAGGAACAAACGCTCCAACACCCCTTCTTCTTCTTTGTGTGTTATTCCCTCCCCCATCCTCAGGTACAATAGATGTGAAAGGGAAGGGATGGCCGGGACAGGTTTAACAAAACTCATCATGAGCCTCGTCCCTCTCCTTTGATGAGCTCTGTGAGTTCTGTCATCCCAAAGTTGCTATACGACTGGCTGTACGATTTGCTGTTTCCAAGATGCCACACTCACGCTCATTGTCAGAACAATCATGCCTGCTCTCCAATATAGACTTCAGTCATGAAGATGGAGATAGATCCCGGCATGGTCTACCATACAGTACATCACCTACCTACCCCATTCACATATTCTCTTCCTTTTGCGCCCCCAGTCACTAACCACCCCATAGCACACCCTTCCCAACATGATGTCAACGACCATCACGACCCCGAGTCGGCTCTACCTCTATTACCAACCCCCAAGGAAACCGAATCCATCTCCTGGACCGACCTCCCCAACAAAAGCCAGCTCCTCATCCTCTCCCTCTGCCGCTTCTCCGATTCTCTATCCAACCTCTTTCTCCTCCCTTACCTCTTTCGCCTCGTCCACTCCGCCGTCTCCCCATCCAGTACTCCCAGCTTAGCCGCGGGAAACGATGACATAGTAACTTACTACACTGCCATCCCCACCACGGCCCTGGTGTCGACTTACTCCGGCATCTTAGTGGCTGGTTTTCCGTTGGCTCAACTACTTGCTTCATTTCTTCCCTGGAAGAGACATGGGGGAGAACTACCCGTCATATGGAGTCTAGCCATCTCGGCAGTTGCAAGCCTGGCGTTTGGGCTTAGTCGATCGTTTTGGGCTTTGTTGTTTTGGAGAATGGTGATGGGACTGGCGAGTGGGAATGAAGGCATGCTGAGGAGTATGGCGGATAAATTTGCTAGCAGGAAGACGAAGTACCGAGACAAGGCACACCGAGTATTGTCAATGGTGAGCAGCCTAGGAATGGTGGCTGGGCTGGCGATGGGTGGGCTTTTGGCCGAGCCGGTGAAGGCATTTCCGGGGTTTTTTGGTGCAGAAGGGACGTTTAACTGGAATGGGAGTGAGGAGGGAGTGAGGTGGATGGTTCAATACCCATTTGCGTTGCCCTCGGTGGTGAACGCCCTGTTGATTGGGGTAGTGACGGCGGTAACTACAGGATGGTTGAGGGAGACGATGCCTGAGCAAGACCAGGTCGAAGATGGCACTGAGCATTTTCCACAGACACCATACATCCTTCTCAGCAACACTTCTACAATTCTCTCCTTCCACCGCACTGAAAAGCCCACACCCATATCTTCCATTCTCTCCGCCCTCACAGCCCGTACTCTCCCACCCTTGATCTCCTCCTTCCTACTAACCCTCCACACCTCCGCCTTCACTTTCATTCTCCCCCTCCACATCTCCACCCCTTCTTCACCTTACAGTCCCCTCTTGTCGAACTCCTTCCACTCCCTAGTGCCCACCCTCTTCCGCTTCACTGGGGGACTTTCCCTCCCACCCCTGGTGATCTCTCTCTACCTCTCCCTCTTTGGGTATCTCGGCCTCCTTTTTCGAGGGTTCATCTACCCCCGGTGGCAGAACCGGCTCAACACTGTGGGCTTGTTCGAGCTCTCGCTGGCCATCTTTCCTTTTGTGTACTTGGTAACTCCTTACCTTTCTTTGTTCTCTTGGGGTCACCAGGATACCACAGAAGGGTGCGCCGAGATCATGAAGTGGATTGCTTTGGGGGTGGTAATAGGGGGACAGACGCTGGCAATGACGATGGCGGTGCCTAGTGCTGAGATTCTGCTTGCTGGGTCGGCATCGTCGGAGGAGGGGGTGCAGGAGAAGGTACAGGTGGTGGGAAATATGGTGACGAGCCTGGCGAGCGTGGTTGGGCCGGTTGTTGGAGGAGTGGTGTATGCGAAAGGGGTGCGAGAGGGAGTAGTAGGTGCTGCTTGGTGGTTTTATCTGGCCGTTGTGGCGATTGCGGCGGCGGTGTGGTGTATATGCTTTCAAGGGAGAGTGTATGAGGAGCCCGTGGATGATGAAAAGAGGTAGATATCGGTGACTTTGGATGTGTGAAAGCATTGAATAGGGGTTTATGGCTGGGATTTGGTTCACTTCTAACTCATGGATGAGTCCAGCTTTCATTCTGATATATAACGAAAACTAGCAGTATACGACTCGGGAACGTGTGTAGGATAGTAGAACAATAAGCGACATAGCTTAAGTTTAAGTCTTTATAAGTCGCCAGCTGTACAGATTTGTCCTCTCATTCAACTCACCAATACAGTGATTTCACATCCTGTATAATAATATACCCTTCCCACATCACCCACCACCCTCTTGACGAAAAAAAAAAAGCCCCTTTCAAGACTCAGGTTGACAAACCTCCATCATCACTCCCTCAAGTCTCCTCACCCGCAACCAGCGCAGCCACCTTCTTCGCAAAGGCCGCATTCTTCGCCACCGCCAAATCATAAATCGGGTGTCCCAAACTATCATGAATGCCAAACGTAGACTGTACGTCCGCCGGTATATCGACCTTGGTGTTCCCGTACGCATACGCCAGCGTGGTCTGGTACTCCGGGTCAATGTTGCTGATACCCGTGGACTCATCTCCCCAGGACGAGCAGCCGGTGCACTTGGCCGTGACCTGGAAATGCGTCGCGTTGACGTGCGTGCCCTTTTTCAGGACGGTGTAGTGCGAGTCGGTGTAGGCGGGCGGGGAGTAGTAGCCGCTGTTTTTTGTGTGCAGTGTGGTGTTAGTGGGTGGTTTCAGATATATATGATGATGGGGGAGAGGATATACAGAAAGGGGCTTGGTTTGTTGGTGAAATGGGATGGGATGGGATGGGATGGGATGGGGAGGTGATCGTAGACTAACGTACTAAGCAATTCTTGGAGAGAGGACGACTTCCTTGTCGTTCGCCCAGGCGATACCGAGCGGGTTGTAAGTCATGTGGCCGCCCCAAGCAAAGCCGGCCCAGCCGACGTCGATGGGGGCGACGATCTGGAGGACGGTGTCGTAAATGAGGTCGGCGGGAATGATGTCGGGTATGGCGACGCGGAAGATGATGCTGCGGTCGCTGGTGTAAGAGGCGAAGGTCAGGCCTGTGTCGGCATCTATGTAGACGCTGGAGTCTGGTTCGAACTGTCTGGGGGCTTTCGGCAAAGGTTACATATGTTTCTTCAGTAAAAGGTTCGAGATGAGGAATCCTACTGAGAACTGGCTTGCTGGCTCCCAGGAGACTAGCCAGACTCGTTGCTACTCGTGGAAGATGCATGTTGGAGTCGATGGTCCTCTTACGTACAGTTCACCTAGGAAAAGCGAAGAGGACATCGAGTAAGGTGTGGAAGAGACGTGGGAATCGAGGCCACATGGAAGTTTTGTAGTGCGCTTAAGAGATCAACGGCCGAGTGATAAGACCACAACGCCAGGCAGAAAAGTGTTTGGAAGCCTGGAGGATCGTTTCCGTTGATATAAAAGGCATAAAAAATGTGACATATGAACCATGTCCGGATGCTACCGAGACAACAAGCCCGGCTTGGAGCTGCTACTTCAGCATGCACTTGTGACCGGACACCCAGACCGTCGAGGCCATGCGGAATATGAAGGGAGGAGCTGATCCAGACTCGGAGGATACTTCAGTTTAGACGGCTGACACAGTAAGATTGATAGATGTGGTTCTCGGTCAAGGGTTGAGAAGTTTGCAGCGTGACTGACATCAACATGCTCGTCGCCATGTATAGTCTGCCACTTGTTCACCGGGTTCAGGAAATGAACGAATTCCTTTTCCTGACTCCTTTGAAGCTTGCCTCTTGAAGACTTGGGCTATCACAACCCATACTCGACATCACTTTCACATGAATATTTTGAGAAAATTTCAACACGTCAGCGTGAGAAAATTAGGTTTTACTTAAAGAAACTGATATGACTCGGTGTGGAATGGAAAGGATAAAGTGATTATCTCCAGGATATAGATGAATTTTGATCATGCCGTGAATAGACAGAGACGGGACGAAAGACCTCAACTTCGTTCGATTTGCGTCGAGCAGTACTTTCAAGCAACTGAGCCATGAGACGCGGGACGAGAGGAAGTGATGTAGCCGTATGGGGATCTTCACCCGGTTTAGGCTAATGAATGCGGTTCTTGAAGAAGGTTCCGATATATGAAGTACCTCTAGCCTCTAATATAGCCCGAGTAGGGAAACATGAAGGCGGGATGCAAGGAGTTACTGCGTATAACATCTTGGCATTGCTTCGAAATAAAGTGCCGAGCTCCCCGGAGGACAAAAGATGCAGTGGCATCCATTTTCTTTGCTGGCTTTTCGTTAGCGACAGAGTCCAATACGGACAGGGCAAGCAGTTGTTGGTTTGAATATGTGAGAATATTCCTCTCTGGATCACGACATGGGTGCAAAGTTTGTCGTCTTCCCGAGTGTTCTGTCGGTATCGTTGAGTGTCCAATAATGACATCTCGTCAGATATAGACAGGAACTGTCGCAGTCCGGGCACTGAACGAAAAGGGTTGCCCGAATCCAGCGTTAGTGGAAGGCCAGAGGAGAACAAAAGAGAGATAGAAAAGGGCATGTTATTGCCAATATAAAAGAAAATCGGCACTGAAATTCCCAAATTCGGCCTGTCATCAATCTCAACATCCAGATTTCTCGTCGTGGTGAAGCGAAGCCAAATCGGAGACGATGTTGACGAGAGACACTACGTTAAGACGGGGGCGTCTCTCTGGAAATGATGTGAGAGCATGATAAGACCGAGCTTGTGGCTGACATGAGATCATCGCGTTAGGAAGGTTTCGGGTGGAAAGGCGTGAAGAAGCACCAAAAGTGGTCGAAGGTGAAGAGGGGAGAAATCGGTTGCCGTTTTGAAACCATACAACCAAAAGCCAGGTTGTGTGTGCCTGGTTCGTGCCCGAGGGCGGGGCATCTCCAACAGCGGACGCTCCTCCGCATTTCCACTCCACTTGGCGCCAATTCTTCAGGGAACTGGGGGCCTAGGATTCCCCAATTCAGGCAGGGGCATTTCTTGAGTGGTTGGAGGAGGTTCTCATCACAACGAACACCTGCTTCTTGGACGTCTGTCAAGGTAAAAGATGGATGAAGAATCAATTTCCCAATCGATGGTCTTCTGTCAATTTGTCTTCGTGACTCTGTTGGAGTTTAAATCATGTTCTACAGTACTTGTTCATGTTCATTTCTGCTGATAGTGTACATTTTGGACGTTGAACCCACCACTGCCGCTCCTTCCACTCATTCCACTTCACTTTTCTGCTCCCTCCACTCCACTAAAAAAAAGAAGCCCTTTTCACGAATGCCGGCACTCGCGTATAGTAGCAATGGATTCTTACCGTGGCTTATTAGTAATTGAAACGTTCCCAACCATAACAATGCCGTTCCATTCCCCGATATGACCTTGTGCAATGAAGTTGTATTACTATGAAGAAGATGTAAGCACTGCTAAGAGAAAGAATGAGAGACAATTACAAACCACGAAGGAGGAGAGCACCATTCTTTGATCCCTGATTCAAGAAATTTCGATCCAGTTGTTTGGTTCAACGTAACAATAACATCAGTTGAAAGTCCAACATGTATGTGTGCACTTCACGAGTGTGAAAGTTTATGTTAGTCCGCCAATATCCTTCCAACATCATGCTAGGGAGCATGTTGAAAGATCCTCCCTCCCCGGCTGGGTCCAGACCCGTCGGACACCAGGCCAAATGGGGGCTAGAACGATGAAGCTATTTGGTGATCCACGAGATCCTCGCGGCGCTCGCGCATCACCGATTGTGGAGGTTTCACGAACAGAAACCCCACTTCCCGTATGTACCACCGGCCACGACCCGACAGCTCCGGAGAGACCCGCAATAAAAGTGACTGAAGCTCCCCCTCTCTTCACCAAGTGACAACCCACTCATAACAGCTTCTCAGCTTTACTTCACTTTCAGCCCGACAGCTCGCCAACTTCATTTTCAATCTGAAAATACGAAGAAGAAGAAGAAGAAGAAGAAGCCGTTCGCCCTAGAGCAACAACCTACTCATAAACGGCTCTTCATCAAAAACATCACCACCATGGCGCCATCCACAACCGCCCCAAAGGCCCCCCTCAAATCAACCCTCCCCCCGCTCCTCCTCGGCACCGCCACCTTCAACACGCAATACGTCCCCGACCCTCACTCGCTCCCCTACCGCTCCATCGTCGCGCGCGCCCTCTCCCTGGGCGTGCGTGGTTTCGACACCTCGCCTTACTACGGCCCCTCTGAGATTCTCCTCGGCGACGCCCTCCACACTCTATTCACCTCTGAGACGAACCCGCTTCCGCGCGAGGACGTCTTCATCGTCACCAAAGCCGGCCGCATCGCCGGCGACGAATTCGACTACTCCCCCTCTTGGGTGCGCTACAGCATTTACCGGAGCTTGCAAAGGCTGCACACGGACTATCTCGATTTGGTGTACATGCATGACGTCGAGTTCGTTTCCCCTGCCGAAGTGTTGGGCGCGGTCCAGGAGTTGAGGCGGTTGCGGGATGAGGAAGGGTTGATTAGACATGTGGGGATAAGTGGGTTCCCCGTCAAGGTCCTGGCGGAGCTGGCGGAGATGATTCTCAAGGAAACGGGAGAGCCGTTGGATGCGGTCTTGAGTTATGGGCATTTTACGGTGCAGAATCGGCTGTTGAGTGTTGAGGAGTACGTTTCTGATGATAAGAAGAGGGAGCAAAAGGAGGAGGAGGAGGAGGAGGAGGAAAGCAGTGTGTTGAAGAGGTTCAAGAAGGCGGGGGTGGAGGTCATTCTCAATGCGTCCATGTTGGGCATGGGGTTGTTGACGCAAAAGGGAATCCCGCCTAACCCGGAATCGAAGGAGAGCCCGTTGGTCAAGTGGCATCCGTCGCCGCCAGAGTTGAGGATTGCATGCAAGAAGCTGGGCGAGCTGGCGGCGGCTAAGGGCGAGAGGCTGGAGAGTGTGGCGATCCGTTGGGCGCTGGAGGAGTGGGCGAGGGTGGGCGCGGAGGCGGAGGTTGGTGTTGATGCTGAACCTGGGTCCCCGTTGAAGGTGGGCGCAACGGTGTGCGGTGTCTCATCCATTCCCGAGTTGGAGGAGACAGTCACCGAGTGGAATGACGTGTTGGAAGGATTGAAAAAGGTGGCGGCTGCTGATGGAAAGGCAGACGGTCGCGTATACGGAACAGAGCGCCAGGAGAAGATCCTGAAGTTGGTGGAGGATGAGATGTGGCCAGCCTTGGGTAAATGGATTGACTTTGCCTGGGCCAGCCCAGGAGATGGCTATGTCAATACCAGGCGGCCCGAAGATAAGGGTAGGGTTCCCAATGATGGCGTAATAGCTGCGCATGAGGAGAGGATCAAGCACAAGCAGTAACCGTTGTGTCTGGATGTAAATGTGGTGCAAAAAAAGAGGGTAGGTGAGTGGCATGTCATCAATAGATGAGCTACAAGCTGGTTTCTCTCCCGCACTCGGACTTTTTCAGACTAGATTCAGGCGTAGTTACTCGAGCAATCCGTAGCATGCTGTAGAACGCAAGCGAATACAAGATCTATAAGTCCACATGCGACAGCGAGATATATGCACAGTCAGTACGTAAACCCATCTTTATCACCCGTCCAAGGACAAGGAATGTTGACATTAATCGCAGGCCTCCGAAGCTCTTGAGTGATGCAGATCTGACATGCGCAAGATGGGAGTTAGCCATGTGAGGCGCTTAAGCAACAAACGAACTGTGAAATCTGCGGAATTGGGCTTCCGACTGCACAGTGGAAAATGTCCTACTACCGGCAGGGAACTCAAGGGCAATATGGGAAGAATTCGGCGTCCTCTCGCAATTTTATTCTTACAGCAAGGCTTGTCATTTATACATAGATACTACACAGGCAGACAACGCGTCAAACCTCTTGATGCCTGATCCTTCCATTATCCTTTACTTCCTACACATGCATCGAAACCTTTTACAGGAAATTAATACCAACACCGACCTGCAGTCCCTTTCTCGCTTCCTCGCCTCTCCTTACCACTAACGGCAGGCTGAAGTTCAACTCAAACCTCGCCACGGGGTGCGCATACACCAGACCAAAGCCAGCCGCGATGCTGGGCAGGCCGTTCGCCAACTCCGCCACCGCACTCTTCATGCCACTCGCAACAGCGCCGGAATCCAGCGACACCGAACCCTCAGCTGTCTTCTTTCCCTGCAGCGCAACCAAACGGCCACCGTTGGCGAAGAGTTGGAACCTCAAGGGGGAGGCAGGACCAGCCTTGGGAAGCGGTAGAAGCATGTTGACGGATCCAGCAGCGAAGACGTCACCGCCAACAGAGTCGGCGCCGTCGTGAGGGCCGAGGCCGCCCATGCTGAAACCGCGGACATCGGTGGGGCCGCCGAGCTGGAAGCGATCGTTGATGCGGCTAGGGGCAACGGAGGCGCTGGAGAGGGAGTAGCCCATGGGCAGAGGGTAGAGGAGACCAGCGCGGAAGCCGGCGCCGACGGAGACACCGGGAAGTGGGAGGGTCTGGGCAGCAGAGAGTTCGACTTCGGACTTGGCAAAGGAAACGTCACCCTTCAGAGGACCCCAACCAGCAAGCTCAGAGGCGGTGCGCACAAGGTAGCCAGCCTGGGGGAGCATGGGATTATCACGGCGGTCGCGGGTAAAGGTGTGGGTGATGGAGCTCTTGAGGGAGTCACCGGCATCGGCGCGGACGGTGGGCGAGGCGGAGGCGGAGAGACCAGTCAGCTGGCGCCAGACACCGGAGTAAGTGAGCGCATGGTCATCGCCATTGTCGGTCGACCAAGCGAGGCGGAGGTTGCCACCGGTAAGGTGCTCGTCGTGCGAGGCCCAGGGCTTGTGGGTGGATGAACGCAGAGCCTCGAGCGCAAGACGGATATCGGGGTTGCCGTTCACCGGGGTGGAGAAAACGGCGTTGTAAGCGGACCGAGTACGGGTACCGGCAGCAGCGTTGACGGAAAGGGTCTCGGCACCACCAAAGATGTTGCGCAGAACGGCATTGGTGTAAGCGGAGCCCTCAGCGTTGCCAAAATCAGTACCGGCCTTGAAGACGAGGCGGGATTGTTCCTTGACGCGGATGGAGACGTCGAGCTCGGTGCGGTCGGTGGGGGACTGGAACTGCTCTTGTTGCTGCTGGCGGGCATCCGAGATAAAGACACCAAATCCATCCTCCTTAAAGATGCCTGTTGGGCGTAAAGCGTATGTTAGAGCGCGCTGACTTGTGGAGAATGTAGGATATTCGGTCGCTGTTCGGGTGGGAAGAGGAGATGGAGGAGGAGTGGGCGCGCACCGAAACGGGTAAGCTTCTGGGTGGCCGTGCTGATGCGAGCGAGGGCATCGCCTAGGGTAGTCGCGGGGCTAGTGGTTTCCTCGACAACGGGCTTGAAGACGTGGTCGAGAAGGCCGCGGCGGGTGTTGTTGGCGCCATGGATCTCGATGGAGTTGACGGTAGCGGGGGTAAGCAGGTGGTCCTCGATCTGGGTTGCGGGAGAGAGAGAGGTTAGCGGGACGATGACTGGCATTTGTATTCAGGGCTACCTCAGGATTGGATCCCATACGATGGGGTTCGGCACCTGGTAGGGTTGAGGCTCCTTGGGCTCGGTAACGACGGCAGCGGCCTTTTGGTGGACGATGGCAGCGGCCTTGTCGATCTTCGCGGTGGCAGCCTCGACCTGAAGATTCCAAGATTTGGATCAGGAATTGGCCACTCGAATTGGCGCAATTGAGACGGCCACGAGGGGCAGGTTCTTACCGGATTGCCGGGGGCACTTGAAGAGGAGGCCATTGCAGCTTCTCGCCTGGGTTGGCGGGATCCCGATCACAGGTTGGCGACTTGTTGAGGTCGGGATGTTCTCTACTCTTGCCAATATTTTGGTCCCGAACTGACTGCAACGTCAATTCGGCTTCGGGTGCTATCGGGGGATCCATCAGTTTACCGTCGTCACTACCTACGTAACGGTGTGGCTAGTGCTGCTGGCGGACTGCCGAAGTTCGAACGGCAGGCTGTGGCTGACGTACACTACTGTACCTCTACATTGAGATGGAAAGCCGACGGCCGTGGAGATCCTTTCCGGGGGAGAACCACAATTGCGGCAGACCCACTGTAACTGGACTAGACCCCGATTGGGTCCAGCGTCCAGTCCAGTTGTTGGTTTCACTTTTTTGGGAAATGGAGATTGGGGGAGGTCGCTTGCCGTGTGTTCCCCCAACTCCACAATGAATGCCATACCCCGTGCCGTGCCACCACCCGACTGTCCGTCACTGCACTGCTCTCACTGACATTCTGTCGCTAACCTTGACTGGACCTACCCACTACTTTCCACCTTCCATCCTAGAACTAAACTAAACAGACCACCATCACCACATCCACCTACTTAATAACAAACTACTACCAATCCATCCACCTCCAAACTTAACGTACGACTCATCGCCATCGTCACTCACCCGAGACTCGAATCACGTCGCTCCGCCGTCTACAAAGTCGCAGTAAACCCGACTCTCGATCGCTCGTTTCAAGGCACTCACTCCCCTTGTCCCACGGCCGCCGATTCCTTCTTGTGTTTTCATTCTTTGCCACACAGTCGCGGCCCAATACCATCTCGAGACATCGCCATCTGCGCAATTCACCATGGCTACACGTGCGGCACACAAGCGCGCAAGTCCACCAAATTCCATGGTCTTGCTTGAACATGGACTAATGTTTTCTTCTAGTTGACGCGCGAATACAAATCCATCACCGAGAACCCCCCGCCGTACATCACTGCCCACCCCTCCGAGTCCAACATCCTGGAGTAAGCATCTACTACCACTGCCAGCTTCGCTTATATGTGGTCAGCGGCTGACATACAGTTCTCCAGATGGCATTACATCATCACAGGACCCGAGAACACTCCTTACCACGGCGGTCAATACTGGGGCACGCTCATCTTCCCGCCCAACTACCCCTTCGCTCCTCCTGCGATCCGTATGCACACTCCTTCCGGCCGCTTCACACCCTCGAGCCGACTATGTCTCTCCATCTCGGATTTCCACCCCAAATCCTTCAACCCGGCCTGGGAAGTCTCGACGATCCTCATCGGCCTACTATCATTCATGACCTCCGAAGAGATGACAACGGGCTCCGTCTCGGCCACCGAAACGGAACGCAAGTTTCACGCCGCGCGCTCACGGTGGTGGAACTCGACGGGTGGCGGCTCCCATCTCCGACCGAACGGCGCAGCGGGAAAAGGCAACGTGAAGGCTGGCGATGGGGGCGCCAAGTTCAGGTCGGAGTGGCCCGAGGTGGACGCTGAGAACTGGAGGTGGATCAAGGAAAACAACATTGACCCAGCGACGGGGAACAGGCCGGAGCCGGCGAACGCGTCGTCATGCGGGCCTCAGCTAGGTATCGCTGGCAGCAGCGGTGGTCAGGCTCACGCTGTCGTGGACGTGGTTATGCAGCAAAGAGATGCGGGTCAGGGGTGGATGTCGAGGCATAAGTGGCTGCTGGCGGGATCCTTTTTCTTCTTTTACGTATTGATGGTGAGGATCTTTGGCGAGGCTTGAGGGATGAGAAATCCCGGGAGGAAGGACCAGCAAGCAGGAGGAACGATCACTATCAGCGAAGGATACCCTGCATTATCCGACAATACCACCGAACATCCGAAACGAACCCAAGTCGCGGCCGTCAGTCAGTGGATTGTTGGGGGTCAAGACGTCCATTTATTGCCATATGGAATACGGTTTTCTTCTTTCATATATATATACAAGCATCGGCGTTTCGGGAGAAGGGGGGGGCAATGCAGGCCGAGGACAGGATCGTTAGCGTACGTGATTATCACGGGCATCATCAGCGTTGGACATACAGGCAGGCAAGGCGAGAAGAAAGAGACCACAACGTAATTGCAATTTCCAACAATACCAAAACCAAGACCAAAACCAAGAGCAAAAGTGACAGGGTTTCCAGAGCAAATATGTACCGGAGTTGGACTGGAGAATTGGAGCATGGGCGCAGTTCATCACGTGTGTGACTTGAGCATAACGAGAGGATTGGTGGGATAGGATTGAATGAATGGATTGCCCAAAAAGACCGATGCGATGAGTGATGTGTCACATTGGACATACCCTATCTAATTCAGCTTAGTCGGGGGAATTGGACACGTCGTTCCTTCATCAAGTGTCTCAGCTTCCTCGACCTATCTTATCTCACACAGATATTCTCCCAATCAACAATCATACTACCTAATTACATGAACTTGAGCGTTGATAGTACACCAACCAATCAAGCGAAGAAGTCGACGTCTCGCTGTCTCTCATCCTCTCCATCCCAAATCTCTCGAAGTTGCATGGCGCAGGGCATTTCTTTCTATATCCAAAGTTCATACGCGCACATGTCCAAGATTATTAGCCATTTTAGCCATAGCAAACAGACATTTTCCCCAGAAAAAGAATAATAGGTATTCATATTCTATTCTATTCATCAACTGCTCAAAAAAAAAAAAAAATCAATCATCCGCCCCCTCCAAAAGTTTCCCGTCCCCGCCGCCCGCATCGATGCGCTTTTCCTTTTTTTTTTTTTCCAACATCATTATCTCTCTATATATGAGGGGAAAAAAAAAAACATTACATGTCATCTGTACAAAATTGTCGAGCTTGGTAACGCAAGTCTTGAAGAAGAAGATAAAATGGTGCATATCGCTAGAGCCTTGATATCAAAAATAAAGGACAAATCGCTGAGAAATGCCAAGTAGGTAGGTAGGTAAAAGCCAATTGGAACCGCGGAGGGTATGTCCAAAAGAAAAAGAAAGAAAAAATGAAAAGAGGAAAAGATGTGTAAGGTGGAGGGGGGGGGTGTTTAGATGTATACCTAGTGTAGGTAGTACAAAGGTGTAGTAGAGATGAGATGTGAAAATTCGGAACACCGTAAAATCAATGCATGATGACCATCAACTTCAAAAAACCCATTGCGAAACGAGGTCGCTCTCTCCTCTCTCTCTTCTTCGACGCGTGAATTATCCCATCCTCAATCGTCTCCTCGTAAGTGGTGGTGTAAATATGGGGGGGCGGTCTATAAAAGTATGTTGTATGTGCCTTACTTTATAAGCTTTTATTTTTTTTTTTTCGTTATTTTTTGGTGTTTTGGGATTTGGCGAAAGAGAGTTTACTCCTTCTTTTGCTTCTTGAGGAAGCCAAAAATGCCGTTCTTCTTGGGGACGCGGACGAGCCAGTAGACTGCGAGGGCGGCGAGGATGTTGAAGGCGATGTAGGCAAAGAGGATGCTATTGTTGAAGAGTATATTAGTAACCGTTGTTGAAAATATGACAAGGGGAAAGGAAAGAGCGGGAAAAAAAAAAACAAAAAAAACATACCCAAAGTTGCGCCATCTATCGGCATAGTCGGACGACACGCTAGCAAGGAACATGTTGGTCTTGTCAATGGGGCAGAAGCTGCACTCGTCCGTGGCGTCTGGGTTGAGGAGGTAACCACCAGCGGCCTTGATGTAGTCGGACATGTACTCCCCGCAAGTGCCGTTGAGGGGGTTGAACTTGAGGAACTCGACATCCGAGCAATGCACGTCCGTGTTGGCCACGCCGACCGACAACATGGCGCTGACCAGGTACGTGAAGGGGCTGACGCGGTACATGAAGATCCAGAAGCCGGGCATGGCCTCGGGGCTGGCGAGGACACCGCAGAAGATCAGGCAGAGGGAGAAAAGCAGCTGGGCAATGTTACCACCGGCCTCGGCGGTCTCGAAACCGGCAATCATAAAGTCGGTAAAGGTTGAAGTGAACCACATGAAAGCGAGGAGGAGCAGGAACATCAGACCGCCACGCTCAGTCACTTGGCCCATTGGCTCGGCGTTACGGTACAGGCCGACGGGGTAGTACCAGCAGAAGTACATGATGGCACCCATGAGCGCGTTCCACGGAAGCTCGACGATGATCTGGGAGAGCATGAAAACCTTCCAGCCGTAGACCTTGGAGGGGCGCTCACGGACCTCGTAAAGCGAACGCTGGACGACAAAGTGAGGCATGGTCTGCTGGACGAGCTGACCGAAGATGGTGAGCAGGTTGAAAATGGCGAACATCTGGTTCTGGAGACCCTGGATGGTGTTGGGCGCGTTGTAGAAGACGAAACCGATGAACAAGGCGACGGAGATGCAGAGGGCGGTCTTGGAGTAGATGTACGACGGCGTGCGCCAGTACTGCTGGAAGACACGGTAGGTAACCTCTCTGAGCTGCTCGAAGAAGGGAGCGGCGAATTCGCGGTAGCCACCAGCGTCACCATCCATTTCCAAAGCGTCCGTGTGATTGGAGTTGTTCTTCAGACGTTGCAACTCCTCCTGGACAGCCTGGTACTCGGGACTGGATCGCCAAGCATCATGCCAGTCAATCTCGGAGTGAGTTCCAGGAGCAGCACCAATTACCTCGAGCATCCACTCGGCCGGGTTGGCATCAGGAGGGCACTTGACACCACTCTGGCGTTCGAAGTAAGAAGCCATGGTCTTGGAGTTCTTGCCAATGTCACCAAAGTAAACGGTCCTACCACCCTTAGCCAAGAAGAGCAGACGATCGAAGCGCTGGAAAAGCATGGCCGAGGGCTGATGGATAGTGCATAGAATAGCCTGGCCGCTCTTGGTCAGCTTCTCGAGGAGGTCCAGAATAGCCCACGAAGTCTGAGAGTCGAGACCGGAAGTAGGCTCGTCAACGAAGAGAAGAAGAGGAGGCTTGGCAGCAAGTTCGACACCGATAGTAAGACGCTTTCTCTGCTCGACGTTTAAGCCTTCACCAGGGACACCAATGATAGCGTCGGCGTACTCCTCCATATCGAGGAGCTTAATAACCTCATCGACATAAGCGAGCTTCTCGGCGCGGGGAACGTGGGCGGGTTGGCGGAGGAGGGCACTGAAGTTCAAGGCCTCACGGACGGTAGTGGTTTCGAGGTGGAGATCCTGCTGTTGAACGTAACCGGTCTTGCGCTGGAAAGAAGTATCGCGAGGCTTGCCATCAACCAGCATCTCACCAGTGATCACACCGACGTTGATACGGTCAGCCAAACAGTCGAGCAACGTGGTCTTTCCGGCGCCCGAGACACCCATGAGAGCGGTCAAAGTACCAGGCTTAACCCAGCCATCAACGTTGTTGAGAATCTGGCGAATTTCCTTCTTGATGGGAACATGGTAGGAGACGTTGTTCCAGTGGAAGACGCTAGTCTGGGCCTGCAAGAAACCAGCCTCCTTGTCGGAAGTGTTGCCATCGCTGACGTGGCCCTTGCCGGCAACCTGAACGCCACCAGACTCGGCATCGCCCTTGTTCTCCTTGAAGGAAGCGGGCTTGTAGCCCCTGCGGAAGACAAGAACCTCACCCTTGCTCTTCTTGGCCGATACAGCCTCGGCAGCAGCGATGTAGGTGAAAAGGAAGAAGCAGATGAAGGCGATGATGATGCCAAAGTTGCGCCACCTGTGGCTGTTGACGTAGTTGAAGCTCTCACGGAGGTAGTCGTCTCCAAGAACGTAGTCCTGGCCCGCGACGGAACCAACGGCTGAGCAGACGCGGTTCAAGTTACCGACGTTGGCGTACGTGGGAATACTAGGGCTAGGAACATAGGCTTCACAATGGAACTTGCGGCCGACAAACTCATTTAGCATCAACGACTCGAAGGCATATGCGATGGGATCAATATAGTTGATCCAGCGGCACCAGCCAAGCATGTAAGTGGTGGGAATGGCGAAACCGGTGAAGATAACGAGCGCAAGGATGATGATGGCAGCGGGCACCATGGCCTGAGACAGCGTACGCGAGGAACTGGCGATGGTACGGAAGATCATCGACATGACGAGTACAGTGACGAAGGACACGAGCAGGAAGAAGAAGAACGGACCCGCTTCTCGGCGCAAATTCGTCATGAAGTACAGCGTAACGTTGAAGACGATGGAGTTGGCGAGCTTGTAGGGCATATCGACGAGCATGGAAGCGACAGCTTCGGCGGACGGGTGGTACAGAGCATAACGAGCGTGCTTCTCAACAATCGGACGTTGAGCGTAGAGGGTCAGAATTTCGAGGGCCGACGAGAAAGCGTTCATGAGAATGGCGAAGAAGAGAAGAGCGCCGCGCCGGTAGAAGCTGTCCGTGTTGGGTTGCAGGTTGTAGAAGACACTGGAGATGATAAGAGCCATGATGAAGTTACCGATAAGAGAACCCAGTGTGATACTAGGATCTCCTACCAGGCGTCGCCATCCTCGCCACAAGCACAGCTGAACCTGTTGGATGTAGGAGAGTGTGAAGGGAGACTTGGCGCGCTGACCCTTGGCCTGCTGAGCCTTCTTGGAGGCGCGGAAAGCCTCAGCATCAGGTCCGTTGATGGGATGCTCCTTCTTGTACTCTTCAATCTCAGCCTGGAGAGACTTGTACTCGGCACTATTCTTCCAGGCAGCAGCAAACTCGTCGGGTGTACGAGGAGCCTTGCCCTCAAAGCCGGGGCGGACAATACGCTCTGTGGGACTGGTCATAGAGGTCAGGAAGTCGGGAGTGGTCTGGCGAGCAGGGCATTCGAAACCCAGGTTGACGAAGTACTGCTTGGCCTCGTCGGCACGGCCGAAGAAGATCTGGCGACCCTCATACAAGACAGCAGCCTTGTCAAAGAGGTCGTAGGCGCTCTGAGGGGCTTGGTAGATGGACACGCAGGCAGTGCTTCCGAAGAGCTCAGTCTGCAGTCTGAGGGTCTTGACGAACTCGATGGCATTGGCACTGTCGAGACCTCTGGTGCTGTTATCCCAGCACTGAAGGGGAGCACCAGAGAGCGCGGCCTCGGCAATGGAGACACGCTTTCTTTCACCACCCGAAACACCACGGATATACTCGTTACCGACACGAGTGTTAATGGTGTGGCTGATGCCGAACATGGCCATGACGACATCTCGGAGATGGTTGGAAAAGTCGGTCTTGGTGACGCCATCGGGGATGTGACGAGGAGCACGAGCGCGAGCCGCAAAGGTCAACGTCTCACCCACCGTCAACTGGGGGAAATGGGTATCGACTTCGGCAGAGTAGATGGCCTCACCACGGTGATGTGTGTGG